TGAAATTGCCCTCTATTTAGCCGGAAATGTTCTGTTCTGTGATTTTGTGACCAATCTTAATAATCATACCTACTACGTGACCTCGTTACAGACAAGGAAAATATAGGCAAGAACCACTAAATGGAATAAAAATTGGTACATTTATTCCTTACTATGTATATGATGATGTATAACATGCAGTATGTACTTAATTAATAACTCTATTGATCTTTTGAATATATTTTATCATAATCTAAAAGAAGATGATCCTTCCGTATTAAATCTTTATTTAATTAATTAATTACTTAATTAACACACTAAACGATTACTTGAATGATCAATGTGCATGGTGTTAATCGATCATGCACGGGCAAAATCCCATATAATTTTAAATATAGCACATTTAAATAAATAGGCACAATGTTAACAGAGATTTAAAGGAGTAACTGTTGAATTTTTTGCGGCCTTTTCTCTACAGATAACAAATTCCTGAAAGTTGCATTCATAAAAAACTGACGATTTAAAAGTACTTGTAAAAAAGTCTATTTGAATAAAGATGTTTCTAATTTGAATTATCTTTTGTTATCATAATCTAATCCTGTCTATACCTAAGTGCAACAAACAGAATATTGTGCATATTATTATTCCATTACTTGGTCTGCAGAGCAAACCGAATGCCCGACAATTTGCCGATCTACTAATCACAGGTCAATTTAGTGATTCACGATGCACTATTAACAGATTTAGTCTATTAATTATTAATCTAACCTCAAAACATTTATAATCTATCATCTTATAATTTCAATAATTAAACAATTTATAGAAAAAAATAACATAATAATAAATAGCTTTAGAGCTATCTAAAGCTATTTATTATTATTATAATTAATTAATTTCTTAATATTAATATTACAAATATAAAAGCAAATTTGCTTGTTTATTACATCTTTGGGTCTTAACGGCAAAACCATTCACTGTGAAATTTTGTAAACAGTTACTTACTGTATGAGATATATAAGTATATAGGTTCCGTTTAATCTCGGTCAATGAACATGTCCCGATTATACGGATAAAGTTGCACGTAAAAACTAGTGTTATGTATATTTTTTTATTATAACATCAAGAAAGGTTCTTTCTATCTTTATAACAATTCGCACATATTTAAATGTGCTAAGTCAAATATAACAATGCAATTCTGACATAATTTTATGTAAAATACATACCGAGCTATATCTTTTTGGAAACCATTCAAAACATCCACGTCCATTAATCATGACATTTCGTATTCATAGTCGTGTATTTTTATCTCGCATTTTAGTGCGTAAAGGTAAAACCATGGAATACATTTAAACTGACCATCTACGTCACCCCGAACGTCAGCCGAGTGACGTCATTGGTCGCTCTGACAGACATAGCCTGCATTCTTGTACGCACAAACACTGAGACGGAGCATTGCTCATTTGTTCTAAGTTTAGAACGACTGAAGTTTCATGTTCGTCAACTTTTATACCGCGAAATCACCATGAAACTATTAATGAGAATCGGTTAAACTTATTCCCGTTATTAAATAGATTTTATTATGATTCATGGCTGAACTGTCTGTGGAATCATCGTTCAAAAATACTTTATATGTGTGCTCTCTAATAGTTCCTCTGAATAGCAGTCGTCAAGATAAAAGAGAACGCTCGGCCGTTGCTTAATGGTCCAAATATATGAACTGATATCTATAAATGCGAAGATATCTATAAATCTGACAAAATTCGAAACGCACAAATAGAAAACCTAAAATAGAAACTGTTGACGACAATATAATGAGGAGTTTGATCCCAATTACACGTGGAATAAGAGATTAGAAGTAAAAGCATTTTTTTATGAAATTTGCAAACAAAGAACATCATCAGAATGTTAGATTTGATCTCCTGAGTATAAAAGCCACTCTACAATAAAAAGTACATTTACTATAACAATAGTCGGTGTAATATCTCAAACTACTCCATTTAAACTTTAGAATTGTATTCAAAGTATTAGATAAGGTTTTGATATTTTTTCAGCCAGTTTTTTTTTTTACGAATAAAGCAATTTTTTGCTATACAACTTATCGTAAATGTCGTTAGAAACTAATTTGTCGTCATATAAAATTTCATTAAAAAACGTTTCATATATGACATATATATAATTATATAGATCATAAATTTGATATTTAAATTAATAAATTGCATTATAAATTTCATAAAAATACTTCATGTTAAGACACAGTCTCGATTGAATTTATACATACAAAAAATACTATTATATCTTCGTTTCTAATAAAACCAGAATAAATATAATATAGTGACACATTAATAAATTATAATCACCTTAAAATAGCAGCACGATTTATATGCATAAAAATCATAAACAAAATCTAACGCGATTAATATTCAAAAATTTATAAACAAAATTTAAAAATATAGAGACGATTCTACGTATATATTTTATTTCAATAATAAATACATCGGTTTGGGCACCGGTTCCAATTTTTGACGTCATAACTATGATCCTTGAGTCAAAGTCAAATTTTTGTATTACTTTTGCTTGTTATTAGAATTTTAAACAGTAGAAATATCAACGTTTCTTGAATTAATAAAGTTCATTCCATGCTTTTAATTTATTAAATATTATTGAAACAAACACAGAAACTACTAGAAATTAATAAGGAACTTTACCTGTTTTTTACGACATTTTAAATATTAGATTATATTTAATGATTATTATTCTATATATATATATATATATATATATATATATATATATATATATATATATATATATATATATATATATATATATTAATTAACAAATTTGTTGAGTAAATATTAAAATAAATACAAGACTTAATTATTAATTTAAAATTTTGCTCTACACAAAGTTAGATCATATCATGTCAAAATTAGTACAAGAAAAATACAGAACTAAATTCTGTTGGTTGCAAACTTTTATCAAAATTGATTATTCGAATTAAGAAATATCGAAGATACTATACTCGAAAACTTACATTGAATCAATAACCTCTTCCATTTTGAAATCATAAAAAAATACACATGTAACAATACGTATATACAATATGGTATCAAACCGACTCGTATGTAAGCCTAAGTACTAAATTAATACGAATACGTAATCTACTCGCACAATGTTTTGAAGTATATTTAGTTAATTCATTGTTGACAATTACCATCACATTCCTTCCAACCTACTCTTGGCAATCGAACAAATGTTGTTCAAAATTCAAAAATTCTACAATCTTTGTGGATACAATAAAAAAACTTCAATATTAAGCAATACAGAAATAAAAAAAAACTAATTAATGCAGTATTTTCCATAAAGTTATAGTTGCACACTATTTATAAAAGTTATACAAATTATCAATGACAATGTGAATTTTATTTTATCCTAAATACTTCATGTGTAAATCTAAGTTGTCTGTGAGGAGACATAAATAAATAGATTATTATTAGTAAAGTTTCGCAATTCTAAGGTGCCTTTGTCTATACCTATCTCAACCTAATAATTTAATATGATAATTTCGCGAAATTACTGTTTTTATGCATCATCATAAACTAAATTTATAATAAATATGTCTAAATCTATTAGAAATTTCATTCATAATCGTTTTTAGAATAAATATTTTGCTGTAATCTCAAATTAAAATTTTAATTTTAGAGATAGAATTAAAGAAACAGCATCTCAGAATTGACCCCATTATCTTTGGCATGCATTTAAATCATAAACTAATAACAACTCACACAAATAATAAAGCTTGAATATTTTTTACTAACTTCAAAAAGGAAAATATTCAACGCGATTCGTTTACTGTTATTAGACTGTGATTTATATATTTGGCGAAACAAAATCATACATTGACTCAAAGGCGAGTCCCTAAACACAATGACTAAAATGAATACGTAAGTGTGTACAGATACGGACCGCGCTAGGGACTTCCTTGTAAACTATTATTCATAAATTGAATTATTGTTATATTTTAGTATAACAATTAATTGCTAAATTATGTCAATCTAAAAATGATTCATTGGTGAAAAACCTGTAGGTACTTTTTCACTTGTTAACAAAAAACTACCTAAGTAATACAAATTTTTCCCGTAATTACTCAGCCGACCCGAAAGGACATAAAAGGGTATGTTGTTTAAAATTACTCTAATAAAATATATTCAACTGTACAATACGTGCATATACTTAAAAAATATAATTTGCAGTGACATATCATAATGATATAATACACATATAGTTACATTATTTCAATATTTTATAAACGGTACTTGTTCAATACGAACATTAAATATTAGGATTAAAATCTATTTTGTTTCTATTATGAAACGTTTTTTTTGTTTATATTTTTGTTTATGTGTAACGCTTCTATTGTTATAAGAAAACACATTGCATTCACATCAATACACGGCATTTCATTTTAATTGTAATTTTATTCTTCTATATTCAATTTCTTACAAAATTTATTAATATAACAAAGCCAGCGACCAGCTAGCAACCGAACAGTTTTTATCCTAAGTATTTATCATAACAAAATACTAATTCTCTTTGAATTAAAATTAAATATTCCTTATTGCACTAAAAATACAGTAATAATAATAATTAGAAACAATGTAAACAAAAATAAACTTATCGAGATTAAAGAGATTTTTTCCAATTAATCTAACAAAGTAGCATTTGAAGTAGTGAGTGGACAACAGTTGTACCAGTAGTCCTTGTATTAGTAGCAGAAATATGGTTTACAAAATAGGTATGAAGTAGATATACAAATACTTGAAGAAGTAAAACTCAGAAAAAATGCATTTCAGTCTAAGATTCTCGCTTATTTATAATATTTCCTAAAATTTTGGATAAATTCGTAGTATACCTATTAAAGTTATAGTTAAAAGTGTAGATAAGAAAGAAGTCTTATGAAGATGAATCATTATAGAAAATTAAATAAGCTTAATTAAATAATGTCGCTAATTGCTACCTACCTTAATAATGAAAACGCAATCAGCTCCACTCTCGAACACTAACCACCACTCGAATATGTCCAAGTATTTCCACTATCACTTTATAATGTAAACAACCACCTTTATGTGGCGTATCCACATCTGAATGATAATAGAACCTCGAAGTTTTTGCTTTCAGTTCTTTTATTGTAGTATTCACAACCTCATGGGAAATTATAGAGGCAAAGTAAGTTCCAAACGTAACGGAGACAACATTTATGTCAACGGATGTAATGGAAAACAGGTACCTAATATATACATTAATACAGCTACCCACCGATAATACATAAATATATTTGCATCCTAATATTTAATCACAACTTATGAGAAAATTACAACCAGATTTTATTGATATTAAGTCTTTACATGAGCGGAGTAGGGACAGAATCAAACGCAAACCGCATGTTTCTTTTTATATTATCACAACCATTGTTGATCTTTCTACATAGTCTGCTACATAGAAAGGCTGTCCTTTCTTCTATATCCGTCGCCTACATGCTTCGTCACTTGAAAAAAATTTATCTAATTATTTATACTAACAGTCATTCACAACACTGAAGAGGTAAACATTGATACATTCAATTTACATCGTGCTAACTCGTGTCTCTTGGGGTAAACACTAAAAATTCCATCTCAATTTACCGTTACATCACTTAAATCTCACGTTTATGGTAAATTTGCATTGTGCACAGTGACTATTTGATCGTTTGTGGCACAGTCAAATGTTTGACGGTTCTCATGTTTAACACGTGAACTCGGAGCACTGAAACGCGGGACGCGAGATTTCCACAAGCTCGCCGAGCCGTTCACTGAACACACGTCGCTACAGATTATGCATTTATAAATAGTTATATGTATCTTTGTCGGCCCATTTCACTAGAATGAGACGCGGTGCACTACGTAGGACAGCGGTGAATGTCAGGTGATTCCGAAGCTGTCAGTGAAACTGTGTTTTCAGTTTTCCAAGGCGACGTGTGTTCTTCGTACTATTTGTGCTCGGTTACTAGAGGCACGCTTTCCACACTGCAATTGCTGAAAGGCGAAACCTGTTGAAATAGGACGGGATACTGTGCGGGAATGAGACGTAGGTATATTTCGGGATGCTGCTTCTAGTTTCAGGCGCTTATTTTGCTAGCGCTCCATGTGTGCGTGAAAAGTTGCGTGCTTACAACCGTGAATCGGTGTTAGTGAGTTGTGGAAAACTCTCTTTAGGGCGCTTTCACAAGCGCGTGGTTTTTGTTGATGTTCATCTGTGTACCCAATATATTCTATTGAATATTGTATGTTTGTTGATCCTCAGTTCTCTTCTGCTTGTTCCTTGTTTATATTATATATTTAGGTCAAGTAAATTATATAAACCAATATATTGTATTTACTGTCATATTAATTGTAATAAAGAGCCACGAACAATTTAGCAAAATTAAAGTGGCAGAGCATCAAAAACATCTTTTTCATGTTTTTTATTAAAGTGAAATGCCTACCATACCCGGCCATATAAAATTACAGAAATATGATTTAAATAACAAAGAATCCATTATTTCTTGGCTGAAACATTATTGTACTCTACGAACCAATAAGCATTGATTAATGCTTAAATGCTTTGCAAAATCCGAAAACAAAGAGCAGGTAAAATCGGAATCGTGTCTAAGAATCGAAGGTGTCGTTGTAGGAATTAATCAATTTAAAGTAGCATCAAGCAATATAAACAAGGGGTCACACAGACGCGTGGCATAATCAAATAGCACGCACTCTCGTAGGCTGTGTAGATCGAGACACGAGAATGGCGGATGCTGGAGAGCGGGCGAGATGACAACACGCAACGTGCCTGCGCACGCAGCGTTCGATACACCCCCCACATCCCAACACACCCCCGCCACCACACTCACACCCAAGAGAAATCTATACCGAAATGGGAAACCGCCTCTGACAGCTCGCTCCAATGTACCCTTCATTATATCGAGAATCAATTGACAAATTGGTACCTCACGATGATTTTATACCTATACAGACACATGCTGCACTCCGAGATGTCTCAGAAACGACCCCTAACGGTCTTTGTTTAACTTTTTTGAAAGCCTAATAGGGAGACGTCCTAACCAACCTTAGGGCGGCTATCCCGAACATTTCTACGAATGTTTCGTCTACAAATTAATTGAATGTCTCCTCCAATTTGATGTTACAATGAAACTCGAGTACAATAACGATCCTTTATTTTGTAAAAATATTTATCAACCTCCCATTCAATTGGACTAAGAAGTATCTAAATTCCTTGCCGAATGAACCCCAATTATTCCAGAATTTTCTTGGATCTACTCCGTGTTATGCTCAATTACAAACAATTAGGGAGACGTGAGAGCGTTGCCGTACTGTTCGTGTTACAAGACGAGGGTACAAGATTGCCTGTGACGACGTAAATCATCTCTGAGACGTGTGAATAGAAGAAAAAAACAATATATTCTGTACCATTAACCGCTTTCAAGTTCGCTTACGCTACAAAAGGGAGTTTTTTGATTCCCATGAGAGCAGTATTTGGGAAATCACTAAATAAGCAGATATTATTTTGTATTATACTATTTTTACGTTTCTTACTCTTTGCGTTATCGATTAATTACATTATGTTATATATAACCTACGTAAAACAAAATATATATATATATATATATATATATATATATATATATATATATATATATATATATGTATATATGTATATATTTAAAGTATAGTCAATATATATTAAAACTTCGTCTAAACTAAATTTATCTAACACAATAATTGCGACCAGTGCTGATAGATAGTCTTTAATGGGTGAAAATGGGATGGTAGCTCCGTCTACGCTATCGGTATATACTGGCAGGTCACCAGTGAGGGATGATAGATGGGGATGAAAGCAAGTCAGTTAGTCAAGCGTGAAGAATTCAAGAATTAACCATGATGGTTTTTAGAAAAACCGTGTGGAGGTCGACCTAATGGGATTAATTGTTAATAATAGCTAGAAGACCCCATTACTAACAATCGCTTTCCGCCGGTGCTGATAGTTACCGTATACCTGTTACTGTCTTTTTTTACATCACTTCTACTGATTCCACATTCTCACCAGAGGGAGACTTTGTAGAAAAGTCGATTGGTTGGATACCTTTGTTACATTCGTGTTTCAACCGTTAAGCAGTTGTATTTGAATTGCTGTGTATCGGTTTGAAGGAGGGGATATGGCGTGAATTTACTGGGTACAGAGGAATAACACCTGAGTCCTCAGGAATGGCAACGCATGGGGGGTATCATGGGCGAAACAGTATACTCTCTTATGTCCATGGTACTGCTTATGTCTATAGGCGACGGTTACCACTTTCCATCAGGTGGGCAGTCAGCTTGTTTACCATTCTAAGTAGTATAAACAAAAAATAATAAATAAACTATACTTTGTTTTCTTATGATATCCTAAAGGTGAATAGAATAAGCTCTGCCTGGTCAACATCAGTTGACTTATTTTATGGACATCTAAGTAAACGTCATTCCTTGTGGTTTTTTCTCGAATTTTTTCTACCAAATAAACTAATTTTTCTTGCATCATGGCAAATTGCATATTTTACCGGAAATATATTAATCCTATATTTTTTTAATGGGTGATAATGAAATGGTATCTCTGCCCGCACTTATCGGTATACACTGACGGAGCACCAATGAGAGATGATAGGTGAGGATGAAGTAGATCACTTAGGTCATCGTGACGAATTAAACAAAAATTGTTCACGATGGTTTTCAGGGGGAACCACGTGAAAGTCGATTACTAACAATCCCTTTCCCCCCATTAATCCTATATTGAACTGCATTCTTATAATAGCCTGATAGAGATTTGTAATAGTTTTTTTTTACTTTAGTACCACTTTATTATTAATTATAGGCTTAAGAATTTATATATAATAATATTATAATGAGGAAGATTGTTTGTAACTCAACCAATTTTGAAAATTGTTTCGCCAATAGAAAGCTATGTTATCATCGAATAACACAAACTATTTATTATTTTCAAAAATTCTATCTGCGAAACTGGACCGCGATTCGGCCCATAACCATAGATATCCTTGTAAGTCATGTAGTCCTCTATAATATATAAAAATATGTTATTATCTAGAGAATTTACCGTGAAATAACAGACATATTGATCTCTAATATTATTTTCTCAAAACATAATAAAATTAGATGCTGAGGAAGTTAAATCTCCGAGGAAGAATTTCGCTACAAAGATATTAGTACTTTTTCTTATTACATGTTAAACTCCCGGTTTAATATTATATTTAATCTAACATTATCTATTTTTTTTTATTAAAGTGTGAAAACAACTTTATCTGCTTTCTATCTTACTCAAATTGCTAAATTAATCAGAATGAAATTTAACAAAGAGTTAATTTTAGACCCAAAGATCCCAAGAAACATTAAGTACAAAGTCAATAAAAAATCGTGCGGGTGAAGTAACTTACATTTTCTTCTTCATACACCCAACAAGTCAACACGGATATACTATAGGATTTAAAAAAGAGTTTGAACTCAGGAATATCTATAAATAAAAATCTAATTGACTTGTAAAACTAGTTTCACAACGTTTTTCACATCGACAGTTTTAGATCTAAAACAGCTGATGCATCGTAATACATGCATATGTTTCATAAAACCAAAATAATTTCGTGTAAATACTCATAAGTATCTCATTTCCTTTTAAAAAAAAATCCTGTATCTAATCTTTAAATAATGATAATATCTTCCCGTATTATCAGAAACATTAGGCTCGTAGAACGAACTTCCATTTATGATGCCCCAATACGGTAAATTCCAAGACTTTGTCGTTTAGATCAATATTAATCTTTAAGTAGACATACATAAATATCTAATTATTTTAACGTCCCATATGAAACGTAATTCCAACTCGTACTCAATCGTTCATTTACATAGCAAACTAAAATTGTCTCGATTAATGACGATGTTTAAAATTTTGTCACACTGCCAGGAAATGTGGCAAATACGAGTGCAGAAAGAATCATTGTAAAAAATAATGAGTAAGTATAGCTAGTGACATAGATTTGTAAGGTCTTCACAATGTGCTACGTAACAGCAGAACACGTGGACGGCAACAGTACCATCTTTTAGTCGTATAATTAAACTTTAAAACTTGTAGCAGTCTCGTCAATGATCTATTTATGAATGACTATAATAAAAAATCGTTAAATGTAAAGAAAATAAAATAATCACTAAAGTATAAAAAAATGGGTCCGTACATCGTCATTAACTAATAATTACATGAAGTTTTCTTTGCATAAATACTTGGCATAAATCCTAACGTAAAGTTAAACAAAATTAATATTCTACTTATAAAATAACTGGTAACCCGCCTTGACATCGTAATTTTTTTTTTAATTAAATACAGCGTATGTTAATTATTGGCAATGCAGCTTTCTATAGATGAAAGATTTTTCAAAATCGGTTAAGTGTTTTTATCTATTTAACATTATATAATTCATTTAGTATTAGTTTTTATAATATAAAAATTCAAATCAAAGCCGTGCCAAAATGTCTTTCTCGACAATTGCTTCCTAATATTTAAGACCCAAGTTAATTTAATTTATAAACCTGAATTTAATCCTTCATTATGTCCTTCTCATTCAGGAAAGCAATTTAGATAAATCTTAGTTTCTTAATTCACTCCGGCAGTTCTAGATTATTCCCGCAGATGATTTTCCAGTAATGATGTAACGCAATTAAATAATATTCTTAGTATTAAGTATAAGTAAATTGTATTGTAAAAATCTTTATTGTACATAAGTCAGATTAAATACTAGTAAATGATTTAGTATACAATGGCGGACTTATCCCATAAAGGGATCTCTTACAGTCAACCTTTGAGAAGCTGAAAGAAAACTGTAGAATGTATAAGGGTAATAACCGTACAATTAAAGATAAACTAAATAATACCCAGTAAAAAAAAAAAATTGAATATATAACACAATAAAAACAGCTCTATATACCTACATATGTAAATAATAAAAGTAAATTAATAATAATATAACATTAATAAATAAAAACTTATACACATACACATACATATATACACATATACACACAT